GGTCAAAACATTAGACTACGATGCCTCGGGACCAACCTAAGGGTCCCCGAGGAGGACCCCAACCTTGGCCAAGCAAGCTGCCAAGGCAACTTGCAAAAATGCTCATGGAGGGAGCATGTCCACATCGCGGACTAGCTCCACCAAGGGCCAAAAGTTTGGTCCGCATCGCGGACGTGTAACGGACTCTTCTGTCTTGAAATTTAATTTCCAGAAACATGTGGGAACACCTCCGCGTCGCAGACTTGTTTCCCGACGAAATCTGCGAAAATAAAACTCAAGTTTGACTTATTTAAAAGGTCCAACTAAGCGAGGGGTAGTTTGGATACTTTGGGGAATTATTAAAAATGGTTATTCTACCTATTTTAGGATATGTTAAGTGGTTAAAACCCCAAAACCTAGAATTAGACCTCATTATCAAATTGTACCTTCCCTCTCAAATAAATTCTCTCTCTAGAACTCCATGGAAGACATTGATGAAGCTTCAAGTTAGTGGATGGGTTCCAACTGATTTCTCTTTCAAATTCCTAGGAAATCAATCATAAAGGTATGGGGATTTTATCTTTGATTCTCCTTACAATCAAAGAGTCAAATCAAAGTGATTTCAAAAACACTAAAAACCCCAATTTCAATTCTAAGCTTGGGTTCTTACATGAAAGTATTTCAAATGATGATTTATGTTTATATTGATGGTTTTAAGATAAAAAACTCCATGAACCCTTGCATATCATGAAATCCTAATTTTGGGTCTAAAATGGGTCTATTGATTATGAGCTAATAATGTGATATTAATGTGTAGATTGTTATGGGCTATTGATTTATGTATTGTTCTATATTTAATTATGAGGAATTGATGGTCAATTGTGTTATATTGGATGTTGGCCTTGAATGGGCAATTGTGGCCTAAGGCTTATGATGATGATGAAGTTGTGAATAGATTATTGATTCTAGTATTTTATATATCTGTTGCAGATGTTAGAATAGTGAGGTTTGACCCCTTTGAAAGTGGGGAGGTGTTTACTTTATAAGCATGTTGTGATCATGGCCTTGTAGGCAAAGTTGGATGATTGTTGTTTTGAGTAATGTTGATTATGTGAAGGTAATTTGATATGATGTGAATTTGTGTATGGTCTAAGAGCATGAAATCTGACCTTGTTTAGAGACTTTATGTGTTATGCTTGGTTGTTGTCTTCTTCGAATGACTTATAATGAAGGAGAGGTTAGGATAGATTATGTTTACCTACTCTCACACCTAGTGAAGAATGAAAGAAAGAATATAAGAATGAATGAAAAGAATGGGAGTTAATGCTAATGAATGAAAGTTGGGTCTATTGTAAGGATAGTCTCATAAAGTACTCCTTTAAATGAATGGGGTTCCTAGATGAAAGGTTTTCTCATCTTTGAATTCAAGAGCTTCCTTAACGAATGAATGAGGGTTAGGATGGGTATTCCTTTATAAGTTGAGATGAGAATACTTAGTAGCAATCCTTATCACTAAATCACGACGGTCTGGGTCATGACAATGTTGGTATCAAATCCCTAGATTTGTTGATGTCATTGTACTAAAATAAGTCTAGTAGAGTCTTGCGGAACGGTACAGAGACCACTGTATTTTTCTTCGAGAGGCTATAGGACTTTAGGAAATCTCTCTTCGTCTTCTCCTTTTTGTGGTATGACTTGATTCCAATTGGTATATTGTGATCCAAATTTGTACATAATCTCTTTCAGTCTTATGTCTGCAGATGGTTAACATGTGAAACAACGACTTCAGGCCCGTAGCTCCTTAGAATGAGCTTGTAGAGGAGCCCGCCGCAAGAGGACGTGGTCGATGCAGGGGTAGAAGAAGAGGAAGGGACAGAGGCCGAGAAAAGGTAGCACCCACTATAGGTGGATCCCTAATTGAGAATGTTCCCATGGAAGAAGCCCCTCTTGCACCCTATGAAGAGGTGGAACGGAATGTGGAGGTTTAAGATGAGGATGTTGAACCGGAGGAGGATGCATATGCTGAGACTGCCGGTCTTCCTCCCTTAGATCAAGCGTTAGCTCAGAAGATCATGACTTTTTTAAAGGGTTGGTCGGCGCTGGAGTCCTTCCCCCAATGCAAGCGGCTCAACCTCCAGCAAACCACCCCATTTTTGCTACTGTCCCCACGGTAGGTGGAGCATTAGGAACTGATGTCATTTTTCATCCCCTATTGGGTCCTATGATGACTGGTACCGAGCATGGGGTGTTGACTATGTTTTTGAAGCTGATGCCGCCAGTGTTCCATGGTTCCGATAGTGAGGATACCTTTGAGTTCATTCTGGATTGCTATAAGAGGCTTCACAAGTTAGGCATTGTACACCAGCATGGAGTAGAGTTTGTGACCTTCCATATTCAAGGTGAGGCTAAGAAGTGGTGGAGGGCCTATGTGGAATGTAGATCGCCAAATATGATATATAGTCGGTGACTATAGAGAAAGAGAGGATTCGTCTATTCGTCAAGGATGGAACCCCAAATTATAGGTATTGTCTGTTCACATAACCTCTGTACGTAAAAGTTTTAATGTGGTGATATACTTTGTGAAGAAAGTGGAAGGAGTTCGACGTGATGGGAAGGCTAAGGCCTTGGGTAAGGAGCCCAAGAACATAGGTATCTTTCATGGGTCCTACTCAAGTTTTTCAGGTAGGCCGGGACTTGCAGCTCGGCCAATTCAGTTAACCATGCCGGCTTCTATAGGTGGTTACTCGGGAACTCCACAACAGAATCTTATTCAGGATAACCAGGGAGCCGCACCTTTGTCTGGTAGCAAGTCATCTGTTGACCGCAGTTTTTATAATTATGGGGAACCTAGAAATATAAAGAGAGATTGTCCCCATCCATGCATGTCTGACCCTGTGCAGTAGCAGACCAGAGGAGTGGTACCAACGGGCAATGGTAGTAATGGCAGAAGACGTCCACAAAGTGGGCGAGGAGGGAACTAGTGAGGTCGCAGAGGCTGGGGAAATGGTAATGCAAGTAGATGAGCAGTCCAGCCAGTCAAGGAGGTTACCTGTCAAGATGATATGGCTTAGTTTTATGCCTTTCTAGGAAGACCGAGGATGAGGCATCTGATGCAATGATCATAAGTACTATTCTTGTATGTGATCGGATGGCTACTATTTTTTTTATTTGAGTTCTACTTATTCATATGTGTCAGTTCAGTTTGCCTTGGAATTTGATGTGGTTTGTGATGTGCTTGATGCTCTCATCCATGTTTCTACCCCAGTTGGAGAGTTTGTGATAGTCACCCATATATATCGTGCTTGTCTTGTTCTGTTTATGGGTTTTCAGACTTGGGCTGATTTGGTTATTCAGGATATGACTGAATTTGATATTATCTTAGCCATGACTTGGTTGTCCCCCTATTATGTTGTGCTTAATTGTAATACTAAGTCGGTAACTCTAGATATCCCGGGTAGGGAAAGGTTAGAGTGAGAAGGGGTGTACAAGCCTAAGGCAGCTAAGGTCATATCTTTCGTTCGGGCTAGGAAAATGGTGAGGCAGGGGTGTTTGGCGTTTTTGGCTTATAATCGGGATGTTGATGTCGTGTCTCCCTCTAATCCTGTAGTGTATGAGTTCAAGGAAGTGTTTCATACTTATTTGCCTTGTATGCGTCCGGGTAGGGATATAGATTTCTACATTGACTTGGAACCGGGTACTCGCCCCATCTCCATTCCTACTTATCGCATGGCTTCGGCAGAATTGATGGAGCTTAAACCTCAAATCCATGAGCTTTTTGATAAAGGGTTCATCCATCCCAGTGCTTCCCCGCAGGGTGGTCCTTTATTGTTTGTTTAGAAAAAGGATGGTAGTATGAGGATGTGCATAGACTATCGACGATTGAATAGGGTCACCATTTGAAATAAGTATTTGTTGCCTCAGATAGATGATTTCTTTGACCAATTACAAGGTGAATCAGTTTTCTCTAAAATTTACCTACGGTCTGGTTACCATCAATTAAAGGTTAGGCCTGAGGATGTACCAAAAACGGCATTCAGGACCCGTTATAGGCACTATGAGTTTTTAGTGATGTCGTTTGGGTTGACCAATGCGCCTACAGCTTTCATGAGTTTGATGAATGGTGTGTTCAAACCATTCCTAGATTATTTTTTCATCGTCTTAATTGATGACATTTTTGTTTATTCAAAGAGTAAGAAAGAGAATGTCGACCATCTTCGTATTGTTTTGGGTGTCCTTGGGAAACATAATTTGTATGCAAGATTTTCCAAGTGTGAGTTCTGGTTGACTTTAGTTGCCTGTTTGGGGCATGAGGTTTGAAGGGAAAGAGTAATGCTAGATCCCAAAAAGATTCAAGCAGTCAAGAACTAGGTCCGGCCTAGCTCTGTGATTGAAATTAGGAGTTTTGTGGCGCTTGCCAGCTACTATTGACGGTTTGTGACATTTTTTGCTTCTATCACCACGCATTTGACAAGGTTGACCCAAAAGGAGATACCTTTCGAGTGGACTGACGAATGTGAATAGAGCTTCCAAAAGTTCAAGATTCTTCTGACCACAACACATATTATGGCACTGTTGGTGGAAGGTACAAATTTCATTTTTTATTGTGATGCTTCACATTCGGGTTGGGTGTTGTGTTGATGCAAAATAAGAATGTCATACCTTATGCATCACGGTAGCTTAAGGTGCATGAGAAAAACTACCCAATGCAAGACTTGGAGTTGGCAGCGGTGGTATTTGCTCTCAAGATCTGGTGGCATTAGCTTTCTGGTGTCAAGTGTGAGGTGTTTACTAACAATCGTACTTTACATCATGTATTCACTTAGAAGGACCTGAATCTTAGACAGCGAAGGTGGATGGAGTTACTCAAGGATTAATATGTTACCATCCAGTATCATCCGAGTAAGGCTTATATGGATGCAGACGCATTAAGCCGGAAGACGGTGAATATGGGTAGTCTAGCTTGCTTAGGTCTGTCCAAGCGACCTTTCACCAAGGAGATTTAGACCTTGAAGCCTAAGTTCATGCAGTTGGGCATCTTAGAGAAAGGTGGGGTGTTAGCCAACATTGAGGTTAGGCCCACATTCAATAAGGAGATCAAGGCCAAGAAGTTTGAGGATGAGAGTTTGAATGAGCTCAGAAAGAAGATAATGTCTTGCAATGCACAAGATGCGGCTCTTGATGCGGGTGGTGTGCTCAGTTTTAGGGGAAGAATTTGTGTTTCCCGAGTTGATGACATGATTCAGAAGATGTTGAAAAAACCCCATTGTTCGTGGTATTCCATTCATCCGGGTATGACCATGATGTATCCAGATTTGAAACGACTTTATTGGTGGCCTGACATGAAGAAAGACATAGCTAAGTTTGTGGCTAAGTGCCAAAACTGTCAACAGGTAAAGTATGAGCATCAAAGGCCTGCATGTTTGCATCAGTGAATGCCAATCCCTGAATATAAGTGGGAAAGGATAGATATGGACTTTGTGGTTGGTCTTCCCAAGACCTTGGGGAAGTTTGACTCCATTTTGGTGGTGGTTGACAGACTGACTAAGTCAGCCCACTTTATTTCAGTCAGAGTAGACTATGATGCTCAGCATTTGGCTAAGGTTTATGTGAAGAAGATAGTGAGGCTGCATAGGGTGCCCCTTTCCATCATTTCGGACCGTGGTACGCAATTCACATCCAAGTTTTAGGGGAAATTGCATGAGGAGTTGGGTACTCAACTCACTTTCAGCACAGCCTTCCAACGACAGACGGACGAGCAGTTAGAGAGCTATTCAAGTGTTAGAGGACATGTTGAGGGCATGTGTGATTGACTTTGGAAGGCATTGGGATAAGCACCGACCTTTGTGTGAGTTCTCTTATAATAATAGTTACCACTAATGCATTGACATGGCACTGTTCGAGGCACTTTATGAGAGGGGTTTGAGGCTAGAGATATGAAACCTTTGGGGGTTGATTTGGTGAAAGATGCTAAGGATAATGGGAGAAGCATCCAACCTAAGCGTCTAGCAGCCCAGAGTCGACAAAAAAAGTATGTAAACTGTAAGGTAAAGGACATAACATTTCAGGATGGTGAGCAAGTTATTTTAAAAGTGTCACCCATAAAGGGGATGATCAGATTCTGCAAGAAGGGGAACCTCTGTCCTCGATACATTTGGCCATTTAAAATTCTTGACACTATAAGGCCAGTGGCTTATAGGTTGGCTTTACCGCCTAGCCTATCTGGAGTCCACCCAGTGTTCCACGTATCCATGTTGAAGAAATATCACGGGGACAAAGATTACATCATAAAGTGGAACTCAGTTTTGTTAGACAAATATGTTCAGTATGAGGAAGAACTGGTTGCGATTCTTGATGGTTATATCCGTAAGCTAAGGACCAAGGAATAAAGTCCCTAAAAGTTTAATAGAAGCATCATCTGATTGAGGAAGCTACTTGGGAAACTGAGAAGGACATACGAGACAAATATTCCCAGATATTCGACGATTTAGGTACTACTCTACTCTTGATTTAGCCATTTCTCCTAGTTTATAACTCGGGGACGACTGATGGGTAAATTGGTATCTATTGTAACGACATGTTCCCGTCGTTATGGAAAAGCCAATGGGAAACTAATTTGGGCTAGGAAACTTCTGAGCAATACTTGGAAATTTCTAGCCTAGGCCAAACATGGATGAAATATGAGTTAGGTGAGGTATAGGGCGATCCGGTAATGAATGGGGAACTTAATTATGAGTTTGATCACATGAGTGGATAGCCAAGATATTAAGGAGCGTGTACGACTTTACGGAATCGAATTCGGGTAAGTTGAACTCCCGAAAGAGATCTTGGCGTAAAGGGGTTGTTTTAGGACGTCAAGGTTTGAAGGTCTGTTGTGAAATGGGAGCTTGGAACACAAATTCCTAGCCGTCGGGGCGGGGTTAATTCTGCCAGGGGGATGGGCCCCGCTGTGGTGGGACAGTCATGACATAAACTGGGGAAAATCCCCAAAAATGTTAATTTCTACAAAACACCAGTCTTGAGAGCTAAGGGATGACTTAGGGCAGTTTCTCATCAAGTTTCCACGAATTCTCATGTTAAAGGTAAGATAATACTTTTCTAATCCCTATTTTGATTCTTAGAACTTAGAATCCTCGTTAATTATTGTTGGGGGAGGGTTCAAACCTGAAGTTAATGGTGGGAAAAGTCCTAGTTGATCATTAAGATCATGGGTTTGTCCTTGGGTTCATATTTTGTTATAATCCGGGTAAATCAGACCTTATTTATTGATCCTTGCATTAATTAATTATTTTAGACCAAGAATAAGTTGAAAGACACCGGAAAGGGAAAGCTCAAGTGTCCTAGGAGTATTTAAGCTTGGTTTCCAGGTAGGTGATGGTTCAACTTCCTGTTGTGTGATATATGCATGTTAAATGTTTCATTATATGCATACAAGTTTGTGAATAGGGAAAATATGAATCGAATCTAGTGAAATGATTATGTGTGGACAATTACATGTCATGAACCTGTTACTTGACTATGTTACTATGTGCACTTTTCATTATTGGTATGCTTGTTACTGTAGTTGTGCTTGTTGGAACTGGTGTCACGTTCTGACATATGTATATTGGATCGGGTGTCACGTTCCGACACACTAACAGTTTTGGTGTGGGTTCAATGAGAGGACCACTTGTGATTATTACATTCTTGTCTACTTGTTATTGATATTGGGAAATTGTATCTTGGTCCTGAAATGATAATTGAACTGTGCATCATGTATATGTGTGTCTACTGTGTTGTAAATATTTTCTTATATTTCGCTCAGTGGAGTAGCCGCGTGATCCTACCAGTACATCGTGGTTTCGTGTACTGATATTGCACTTACTCTTTCTTTGATTAGTATAGGGCATCTTCAAGCGGCTACTGACAAACCTCACTTAAGAGATCATTGACTGAGACCGGAGTCGAGAGTTAGCCATTTCTTTCAGGCTGTCATGGATCCATCATTAGTTTTAGTCCATTCTTTTCGGACACAGACTAGAAGTTCAAACTTTTTACTTGTGTTTTGTTATTGGGGGCAACACCCCTTTTTTAAGATTTGTTGATTCGTAGAGTTTTGGTAGAATGCCTTTCAGGTTCTAGGGGTTGAATTTCCGCAAGGGTTATGCTTAGTTGTTTTTGTTAAACCTTTGGAGTTTATGGGAACTCCATATTTAATTTGTCATTTAAACCTGCTTATGTATCTTTAAATGATTTGGTTTCTTTAAGTTGATTAGTCGGGTTGTAGTAGTGGTTCTCCCACTGGAGGGTTAGTGTGGGTGTCAATCATGGCGGTCTGGGTTGTGACATTAAATATCATGCAATTTAGTATTTAAATACAAAAATATAAAATGAAATTAATAAATATCAATTTTATATGGAATATGTTGTAATTCTTACCAAATTTGGAAAGCATCTTTCTAAAATTGGTTGACTTATCTATGGTTATGTTATTTTTTAATATAATATAATATAATATAATATTGACATTTAAACATAAAATAAGACACATATTTCTCATCTCGATGTTCATTTGACGAAATGGAGGGAAGGGGGGTGGAGGGGAGCCGGCTCCTGAATACTCCACTCGTCAATATTTACTTATCAAGTATTCTCTAATTGATGTCCTTTTATAATTGTCATTTTTTAAAAAAACAAGAAAGGATAATTTTTTTATTATACCCTGAATATATTAACATTGAGTTAATTTCTTTGAAAAACATGGTGAGTAAATATTTGGGATTCTATCAATCAATATCTATCTATATATAATAGGAGAAGTAAAAAGTGTCACATGTCAGCACCACCAAAAAAATTATTATTAAAAAATAAATCTAAAAACAGATTGTAGGAAAAAAACAATAATTACCATTAATTTTTTATTTTTTTTAAAACTTATTGTAAAAAGAAAAAGAAGCTAAACAGTGGATTAGTGGAAATGGTGTAGTTTTTTTTTTCATTCTTTTTATAAATCTTTTAAGATTCAATTTTGAAACTTTTTATAAAAAGAATTACTATTAAAGAAAATTGTTCAAAACTGTGGATTCTAGGGAAAAAGAACATACTTCCAATTATTTTTTTAAAAAAAGATATCACGTCCTTTCATTTCTCTGTTCTTTTCAATTTTTAGTGAATATCAATTTTAATTTAAGAGAATTCTCAATTGGCTTTCTCATTGAAAATATTGGTGTATGTTGATACTCTTGATCTATATAGGATAGAGAGAAATAACTAACATCTACATAACCAAACGAGATTATTTTAAAATGGTTAATATTGATGTATGTTGATACTCTTGATCTCTATAGGATAAAGAGAAATAACTAATATCCAAAAATTATATACTTTTATATATATATATATATAGGTTAAGAAGCATTCCATATTATATTTTTAAATTTCATTTTAACTGCAAAATTAGGATAAGAAATATTCCCATTATATTTTTAAATTTTAATATATCTGCTAACTTAGGATAAGAAGCATGCCCTATTATATTTTTTAATAATCGTATAAACTAAATTATCATAATGTAAAATCATATTATTATAGTTTTTTTATCCATTATAAATAAATAAAAATAATTAAAGCTAACGCTGAGGTGTACATACAAAATAAAAGGCATTAGAACAATTTTATAAATAAATGGCTTATCTTACTACTCTGAAATGACATTTGAAAATGGAATAAAATGGATGAGTTTCACTTTGATAAACGTTAGGATTTAAATAGTGAGAACTTATATAGTCAAGCTTAATTTTTGGTGTAATTATTATTTCTTTTGCAACCTAACATGCTCAGAAGATTTCAGTATAATGGATGATAACTTGCGAAGTGCCATTTTTAGATTTTCATATTGACCAACTATATTTTATCATTTCAAAATTTTAATTCTATCATATAAAATCTCCCCACATGTATTTCAATTTATAGATTATTGATATCATTGCTTTCAAAATTTCAAATTAGAATTTATTTGAAATGAATTACTATATATGTTTTCACGTTATATTCATACTAGCATGTTGGTGACATTTATGATGTCTAAAGTTTATCTAATTAATATTATATAAAAAGTATATTAATTATTTATATAAAATTAGTTTATAATTTTTAAAACTATATCCTAATATTATCTATCACTGTTATGTTATATGTATCACTAAAGAAAAAAATCTACTAATTATTTAAAAATTACTAAATAAATCTAAAAATTTATAAAATAAAAGAATAGACTTATAGTAAATCAATGAAATAGAAGATGATATGTTTTTTTCATCTTTCAATTTTTTTTGCACCACAAATAATTTATTTTTATGTGGTATAGTATGTTTTTATATTGATCCCTGAAATTCTTTTCTTCTGATTTCTTATTTTATAAAATTATATTTGATTAAATGAAAATCGTCTTATTTTGCAAGGTTGAACAAGAGAGCAGAATGCTAAAGAGGTGTCAACATGCTTTGCAAGTTACATTTATAATTTAGCTAAAAGTAGAATCAATTTCTTTGAATACTAGATTATAGATTGATCTATGAATTTAAAATTTAATTAACTAAAACAAATAACAATTCAAGACACGCCACATGTAACATCCCGCCTTAGAAAGAACTATTTCAAATAGAGAAAAAATTGGAAAATTTAGCAAGTTATGCTAAGTATAAGTTTTGGGTCAACTTCAAACAACCATAACTTTCAGTATAGGATGAGTTAGGTAACCCATAAGATATCACATAAAAGTTCTTGGAATTCTCTTTCCAACGCCTTCGAGTTTGCTAATTTTTGAGCTCGTATGAGGGAGATATGATTGTTTGAAGTCGGCTGTCTATTTAAGGAAAGTTACGCGGATTTAAGAGGGGTATTTTGGTCTTTTCCTTACCCTATCATATTTAATTCATTTTTAGTAATTAATTAAGGGTCTAAACTGATTTGGTTCAATTTATACAATCATAATTTACGCTAGAGTTTTAGAAAAAAGTTCAAGAAAAGAAAAGAGGAGAAAGGTCAAAATTTCATCAAGTTCTTTAGATTTCATAACGGATTTCGCCAAGGGTTTGATCCCTAAGAGGTATGTCAGTTACATAGTGTTGGGTTCGTTCACCCACCCACCCAATCATGATTATTTCAACGTAATTTCGTTCTTGAAAATTAAAGGATTTGTGTTCTTGATGAGTTTTATTGAAGTTTCTTTTAGAATCTTGATTGTTGAGGTTTTGATGAGTTTTTGTGTTAATCGTATGAATTTTTACGGTTGTTTTGAGTAGATTCTTGTGTACTATTGTTGGGTATTCGAATCTAAGTGATTGGAAAAGAAACCATCCGATTCTCGGTGAATTGGGGTTAGAAAATGAGTGAGAAAATTCGTCAAGAT